ATTATATCTACATTTGATCCTCGGCCTCCGTGGAAAAGATTCCGTCTTTTCCTCAATACAAGGTAGGTCAACGAGAACTTTTTTTTTCTTATTTTCGACACTTCTCTTTAGCGCTGCAGCGTGGTGTGTATACGCTTTGAGTCTAATCGCTCTAATTATGGTGCCAAAAATATTTATACCTACATTTTAATAACCAGCCCTCACTCGTGAGACTTGCCACCGATGAGAAGGTCGCCCGAGGACACGGTCATTAAATGGAGCACGTTTTTTGAAAAATACGAGCTTCGAGTGGTTATTTGTTAAAAAATGATGTAGGTACATTACAAATGTGGGGCGAAGAAGTTGAAATAAAAAAAAGTGGAGGGCGCAGCAATTGTCCTAAAATACACGGGCGTACCGATATACACGTACACGGTTGTGCGCACAACAAGGCTCGTAATTTCGGGGATAACGATCGCCCACATTTTTTTTCCCCCTCCGCCTTTCAAAGAGCCCATTACACGGCACCCGAAAAAAACACCCCTGGCGAGCTCTCCAAAACTGACGGCTTACGGGTACGATGTACGACGTAGGTGGCAAACGATTCCCTCGACTTTGCGGAAAATTTACTCGCCGGTAGCCGGACCCTCGTTTGCCACTTTCAACTGCAGCTGTCCGGTGGTATTTTTTTTTCCCACTTTTTTTTTCTGCCTCGCACACTCGTGTACACGCTCGCCTACACCGATAAGTTGAAACTACCGAGCTATTGAAATTTGCATTTTTGCATCGTCCGCTCTTACGGAGCGCCCGTTAGCATGTCAAGCTCACTACTCCTGCTTCTGCTGCCTTTAAAGTACTCCACACAGGCCGATCATTTTCTTCCAGTAATTGATGATCCAGTGTCTCGTGTAAATACTTCACTCGATACAAACAATCTCTATTGCAATTGTATTTTTTTCTTAACTCTGCAAGACGAGGGAGAATTACATTAGTATACGTACTCAACTGCTCCTTACGCGGTTGTAATGTGTGTCTCCTGTGAATTCAAGTCCAGAACATCCGAGGACTCGTCTATTTGCCTACGAATTTATCTCAAGCTATAACTTGCGTACCCTTGCGAACATGAGAAGAGTACATTCGTTTTTTTTTTAGTTCAAGCGCAGATACGTATAACGAGTCATAATTGATTTTTTTACACTTGTTTTAATTGATAATTTCGTAATAGCTGCTCCTCGCCCGAGATCCATCATAATGTGACCACAGGTTTGTTCACACCGTAGAAATCCGGGGACAATGTCTATTTTGCCTCGAGTCCCGGATGATCCTTAATTCGATCTCGAGCGAATCAGTCGCGCGACGATTCCTCGTACCGCTTCGACGAGCGCGCGATCCCTCCTCGATCGGTCAAGCGCACGTCGCAAGCTCCGTCGCACCGATGCATTATGACGGAGCCGTTACGAGTCGCTGCGCCCACGAGCTCTGCAGATGCCTCCCGACTATACTGCCCCGGTCTGCCGCGTAATGAATCGGAAGTGATTTAAGCTCACCCGGTGCAGCTGCCATTGTAGCGTTTGTTATCGGCTTGCCCCTTTTTTTGAGGGGGCGGGGGAGTCGTAAATTTTGGCTTCCCCTTTCGCGACCGCGCTCGATTGACGAAAATTAATCGCGGATCCCCGGAACGTTAATTTTTTTCACTCGACCCGAGAGAGAAAGGGGCTGGCGTTTCATTTTACGCGACCCTCCGATCTGGAGTGGATTGATGGCCGGACATCTGTGTACGTAAAAACCTGCACGCGCTCTGGCTTCGTTTCACAACTGATACGTTTGCCGAGTTGAGAAAAAAAAAATATATTCCGTCTTTAGCGATAGCTGAAACTTCATTTCCACAGGCACGCGATCGGGTGCACTTTGAGTCCGCGATTTTTCATCAACCCTCGTCGTCAAAACGTTTCTTAGAGGAATAACATACTTGATCGGTATCCGTCCAGAATCGATTTTTTCCGACGCACAATCGCTCGTAAAACATAGTTACCCGTTGTTTCCTGTACACGTTCATTCATCATTTTTTGCCGAAATCTGAGCCCTCCCCTCCCCCCGACATCGATTTTCCATCGCGGAGGAAGAAGATACGCGTAAGTTTACAGAACCGAATTTCTTTCCGTGCCAGTGGGTACTCGATTTTTAGCGTAACGGTAAACCCAAGAGCGATTTCCAATCAAACGCGAGGGCCTATTGAATCACGCCGGCGGTAATCCGGTCGCGTCCGATATCTGGTTTCAGCATGGGGATGCGCGTCCTACGGGGGGTAGCTGTCGGCGTCTCTCATGTGTCCCTTTGACCGCACACCTTTGTGCACCCTGGGGGGGATTCGAATGGCCGAGCATCGGAGCTCGCGCGAGGGGTCGATCGTGACTCTTGAGTTTTTTTTTCTCGATTGTTTTGTACCCCCCCCCCCTCCCCTCCTTGTTTCTCGTCGAGACAAGCGTGTACACCTTCCGTCCATTTGTTCGGTTGGTGGTTGTTTTTGCCGTGACACGTAATCATACGCAATGACTTGCGGGAAAAACAAGAAACCACAACGCCCACCATCACGAAAACGGTGTGTCTCGCTTCTGGATGCTTGGAGCTGTCGAGAAAGACCATTGATGAACTAACCACCGAAATTCGGTGTCGATTGTTTTTTTTTTTTTTTTTTCCTTGTCGTAAGCCTTTCCTTTCATTCGAAACGGCACACAATGGAACAAAAACTTGCGTTATCTATAAAAGTTCGGAGCGAAAGAAAGGAGCTCGCTTCGTCACCCACGGAGATCACTTCCGGGGAAACTTGTTAGTTGAACTTAACTGCAGTTAGCACGTATATAGATGAAAATACCAAATCATTTCAGCTGAAGGAAAAGGAAAAAAAAAAGAAATACGTATATTATATGTTCAAGGTGGTACACGTAGTATATTCCGATGCAAACTGTGAAAGCTCGAATTTCGTCGGTTCGCCCATCTAGAGCCAAAAACAACGTGTCCATGCGAGTCTTAGGATGCCACACGGTACACGTGCGAAGGGAAAATAAAAGCTCCCCCTCGACTCTCCTCCGGCGTAAGAGCTTCCAAGTTATACTCAAGTACAATAGCGCGGCCCCAAGAGGCTGCTCATATACATATACGTGAATACATTTTCGAGGCTCGTACAACGTGTACCTATACATATAATATATACGCGCACACCTCGACCGCTCATTATGCTCTTCAGAGAGATAACAGTGGAAGAAACACTTTTTCCTCGCGCTCTCCAAGTACATGCAAGACATATAGATAACTCTTTGATGGGACGCCCGTGCGACAGTCTGTCTCTCTCATGTTTGCGAAAAAAAAAAAATAAATAAAAATTAATAAAATAAAAACAAGGATCGAAGAAGGAAGCGAAGAAAAAGAAAAACACGTGCTAACAAACGCATACGGTACACAAGGGCGCGAGTGATACGGACGGGGATTCGAAGAAAGGGGCATCTTAGCTCTATATTGTTTTCACCGCGATCCTGCTCCCTCCGGTGCCTCCTCTCTCGTTTCCTCGTTACACTCCTTCTTCTCCTTTTGAGAGTCTGCGTAAAAGAGAGAGAGAGAGCGAAAGAATAGCGGGAGGGAGGTGGGCGGAAAGCTTCGCGGATGCACCAGAGGGAGAGGTCGAAACCAGCTTGGGGTGGTAGGTTGGCAGAGGGGCGCGGGGGCCAACGGTGAGTCTTACATACACCCATAACGTGTATAAGCACACGTACAAACACACGCACACTACGGAAGCCCAGTCCCTCGAGGGAGAAAGAGAGAGCGCAACGTGTAACGCGCGACTAGGTCAAAGCCCAGTGTATACACACTCGTACCTATACATATATACGTATTATACTCTCTGGTCAAAGAGTCGATGTATACACATGTATATATATATATACATGNTGCTTTTAAGGAAATATGAAGAACAAGCTGCTAATTTCAAATAAAAATGGTAAAGTTTATTTAGACAGAGAGATGTGCCCTTGATTTTTTGTTGGTGAGCTTTATTATTTCTTCTAGTGGCTCCCTTTTTTAAATGAGCTGTCCATCCTGTATGTGACAATAGATATTTTTAAGCTCTTATGACTATACATGCCCCCTGCGCGCTCTGCTCACCAACCCCCGTAATTGCAAATAAGATTTACGAAGTATGGAAAAAACCCGAATTATATATATATATACGTAACAGTGCAGGCAGAGTCGAATGAGGTGCAGGGTGTTACCACCAACTACCATCAGGTATACACTCGAAAGCACGAACAGCAGAGGGCTCGACCGCCCACTATACACAGGCAAACTTTACGGCTCTTACCCTCCGTCCGTTTTACTCGTCTTAATGCAAGCGTGTACTCGTACTTATGTATACGTGGATGTACGCGGTAAAAGCTCCGGCGTGCAAGCTACGTGGATGTACAACACCTGCGCGCAGGTGTGCTTGGGAAGGGGGTTGCGTGCGTGCACACCACCACCACCAGCCCCGCAGCCATCAGGAGCAAAAAGAGAGAGTGCAGGGCTGTACCTAAACATCAAGGCATGCCGCTATGATACACAACCGCCGCTCGCGAAAACGTGGACTCGCCTGTCTCCTTTCTCTCCTGCTCTCGCGTAAGCGTACATATGGCCGTTATATACCGCTGCAGTCGAAATTTCATCACAAAGGAGCGCTAACGAGTCTCCTCTCCCTCTTTTACCGATACCAGCCACGTTATGGGCACACGTACAACAGTACACCTGCAATAGTCCTCCCCCTCGGCTACACATGTGATGGCACATGTGTGCACACTAGTATACAGTCTCATCGGTATATCGATGTTAGGTGGCGGAGCAAAAGCTGCACGGGGCGCAACGATCGGCCGCGCAGTAGTGCAAACTGCGAGTGCGCCGACGAGGAGGAGGTATAAGTACCGCCGTGCGTATATGTACATCTAGCTGTTCCTGGTAGGTGGAGGAGGAGGAGGAGGATATCATAGCTTTGGCTGTCTCTGTTCAGTGCCTCGCTGACCGTCGACGGAGTCGCACGCGCCACCCTCTTGTTCCCCGCGAAAAAGCTCGGCCCGTGTATACTATACTCTCCGACTCGTCCTCCCGCTGTTTGGCTCGTGGTGGCCAGCGCGTCCACGATCGGTGCCAATGGCCCCCCACGAGAGACGCCGAGTAAAACCGCACGCCACCAGGGCCGAGTAAACAAGAGGGGAGGGACGAGGAGGACGGCCTGCACAACAGGAGCAACGACGGGACCCGGGAGATGCCGGACTCGCGGGCTTGCCCAAGGCTCGAGCGGCAGGGGACGCGGGCCCCGAGAACGGACGAGAGGACAAACAGCTGCAACCGCCACCCGGGCCCGCCAGCCGCCTCTACTTTCACTTCCTTCTCAGACTTTTTCTTCTTCTTCTTCTTCTTCTTCTTCTTCCTCTCCGCCTACGCTGCCTCGTCGTCGTCTTCGTCACCATCGACGGCACTCTCCTCGTAGCCCGACACATCCATAGAGTGCCGTCGTCCTTCTTGCTCTCGTTGTTGATATTGTTCCTGTTGTTGCTGTTGCTGTTGTTTTTGTTGTTGTTGTTGTTGCTGCTGTTGTTACTGCAGGAGTTAGTTATTGTTAAGTGTGCGAGTGCGTGCGTGCGCGTGTCTGCCTCGATCTACGCGTTCGAGCCGAGCCGAGCAGTGATATATATATATACATATATACATGTATTATTGCGTATAAATTATTTGTACACATGCTCAAAGTTACGAGCTCGTGTTACACACATCGTGCAACCTTGTTGTGAAAACGAAATCGTGACTGGGTTCGATCCATCCCTGAACGCCGGGGAACTACACCTACACGCGCAACTCTGGATTTACGCGGCTTATAGTATTGTTAAAATATTCAAGTACTATGTGTTTATTATAAAATAGTAATATATACTGTTACGTTGTAAGCGAACGAAAAAGCATAGAGTTTCCAAAGGCCTACGAGGTGTTACATATATATCCATACAAATGAGCGGATTTTAGACATCAATAAGTAGCACACACGAATTCCTTTTTTTGCTGCTCTAACTGCACGAGTGTCAAGAAGAAAAAAAAAAAAAAAAAAAAAAAAAAAAAAAAACTATAGAATAACCCGTTTAGCGTCTATTTGATAAAACACATAAACGAGCGTCGCCCAAAGTACGAAGGGCGTACATCAGAGGATCGAGTAATCTATAAAATCATATAGTCTATAAAAAAAAAAGGAAGGGAGCACGTGCTCGCTCCCCCGTTGGCGAGCAATCGGCCGAGGGACGATAAATTTCGACGCGGACCCGACCGTAGCGGAGTCAAGCCACCAAAGGACAAATACTCCATGGAAGCTTGATCGAGGGGAGCACGGCTCTTCCAGCGCGCCATCGAAGGAGCCTCGGCTGGACGTCGAAACGAATAATGAGGATGACGGCGATCGGCGCCGCGGGAACTTAGACGGAGAGCCCCGAGGCCCCCAACCTCTACCTTCCCTGTACACGTCCCGCGGAGCTCGGCCGGCAACATGGACGTCGCGGCCTCGGCTATGCTGGACGGCCTCAAGAACAACCGGATCAGCAAGCTCGCCCTCTCGAAGTTCCTCTCTCAGAGCTTGTGAGTAGACTGCCCATACATACACGCACATGTACATACCATCGCTCTGTCATTCGCCTGTGATCTTTTTCTCTCTTCTGTTCTCTTTCGCCCTCGATCGGTGTCATTATCGCCCCGCGACGCGGCATCTCATCATCCTTCGATCGACCGAGGGGCCGGGAAGGTATGCGCGCCGCGTTCGTGCGGGGAATGCCGTGCATGGGGAGCGGCTGACGGGAGAAAATTGCATTTTTATTAGGCCCCGGCCACATTTGTACGTGTACATCGGCGAGGACCGATTTTTACTCTCGACCGGGGCTGTGTTTGACGAACGACCGTGTGATCGCACGTGTTTCATCGTCGGAAAGGGTATAGAGCGATCGATGTACGTACGGGAAACTAAGCGCTATCGATCGGCTCGACGAGACTTTGTCTGCTGGTACATTACAAATGTCACTTGGAGCAGATATACCTTGCAGCTGGGACTAGAACTGGAGGGGATATGGCTACCGGGCGTTTTCGAGGACACGAAATTTTCGAACAAAAGCTGGTGGAGGACTCGTTTGCGCGAGTATTGAAAAATCGTCACACGTTAACCGAGAATTTTCGGTTCCATTGGAACAAACATCGTAACTGTGTCAAGACATCAGAAACACGCGTTGATAGCTTGAAAAATGTGGCATCGATTGGAAAAATGGAAAATTACCGTGTAGAGAGGGGCACTCGCGCGTTCGGCTTGAATCAATATCAAGTGTGTTATGAGTCAAGCGAGGGGAGATAAACGACGACAGCCAGCAATAATCTCCCACGAGCGTGGGTGTAGCAGCAAAAGTAGCGGAGATAAGCGGTCGCCTCGTCGACCTTTTTTTTTTTTGCCCCTCGAAATTTATGCGTGCCGCTTGTACGCGCGAGTTTCGGGACATATCGCGGTAAATCATTAATCTTTCACCAAACAACCTCCCGTGCACGGCGTACATAAATAACCCGGGCTCTCTTCTCTCTTTGTTTTATATACAAACGAGTGATGTCGGTTTGCCTTTGGGGATCGAATATATACATATATGTATGTTCAAAGGAGGTGCTCATTGGTGTCGAAAGCAGGAGAGACTTTCTAGTTGACCGTCTTTCTCGGAGTGGATGCAACGTTTGTGTGTCACAGTCAGTCGCGTCAGCCCTGAAAAATTCAATTAACCCGAGCCAAGGGGGGTAAGTGCACGCGCCGTATGCGGTACACTGTAACCCATCCGTATCGCGTGCGGCAGCGGGCGCGCGTGTCCGCGTCTTTTCGTGTTTCACAAAATATGAATATTTGATCGATTCCCGCTCGGCCCGCGCCGCTGTTTATTTACAAACGTGGGCTCCTCTTGGCGATCGATACACCCGCCGTACGTGTAATTGCGACCAAACAAGAAAACACAAAAAACAAAACGTACCCCTTTTGTCTCACCGAGCAACATTGACCCGTACATAACCCCTCCGACTCTCTATATGTCTCTCTCTCACGACAAAAACATCGATCGTCGCGTACGCGTATCGTGAAGCCAAGGACCGTCGTTTCCCGTGGAGTAAAAAGAAAAAAAAAAAAAAAAACTGAGGATATTCATCAGTCGTTTGGCCGCGTTTCCAAATGCCATATAGCAATGTCCTCCCTCGTACGGCAGTAATATCGCAACGTCTGGGTGCTAATGTCGCCCCATTAACTTTCGCGTCGCCGGCCGGACTACGATCCACTTGGCTCCCACCACGTAACGCGACGAACGAGGAGCGCGTGTGGCCAACGCGTGTATCGACGTACTCGTGTCCGGTGGGCCGCGTTAATAATATCCCTCTCACTATAACTCTATTGGTCCGCATCGATTAATCACAAATTTTTATCGTGCTAATCCGCTGCGAGAGTCGCGATGGTGGTGGCGCTTCGCGGGTTTCCCCCGAGGAGCCGAAATTTACTCGCGAGGCTGGCTTGCGGTTGAGGTTTGGCTCGAATCCGCAATTTTTGCCTACGCGAGTTTGCGATATCTGTTCCGGTGATGGTTTTCGGGTTGCGATGCGGGCTCCATTGTGTCGGAAGGAACGGATGACGCTCGCGTGTTTTTTAAATCTCCGTTGTTGCCCGATTCTTTTGAAAATCTCTGGATTATTTTCGCTGAAACGCGAGGCCAAAGTGAAATGTTACCCGCCACCCCGAGAATCCGACAAAACACTTGTCGTTTTTCCCTTCGATCGCGATAACCCTTTGCAATCCATTTACGAACGAGTCAATAGGAATCGCCGGCAAAGCGAGGGGCAAAAATAAAGCCTCGCTCCCGTTCTAATCTCATTCGAGTTAAAAGCTCGCCGAGCAAGCCACTACCAATAACCCTCTCCCCCCCGAAGACCAATATCAGTTAACCGGCCCCGCGCCGAGTTTTTATCCGGCCGATAGTGTGCCACCCACCCTCCGAATGGATTTTGTCTCGCGCAGATACTGCATCGAAGATCCGGGAGCCCTTCTCGAGCGTTCCAACTTCCGCCTCATAAGCGAGCTGCTCTATCTCTGCTTTCTTTCCCTTCCCTCCCTTTCTTTTTTATCGCGTTTCATGTCGCACAGTCGCCGCGGCTCTAAATTGTTTGCTTTGAGTTTGCTCCCGCCGCAGTCAAACGGCAAAAGAGGCCTTTGTGCCTTGCACCCGAGCCCGCGGCTCCGCGCGATTTCGCGAGCGACAAGCCGATGTTGATTACGACGACCAAGAGAGTCGAGGATTTTTGTTTAACCTTTTAGCTGGGCGAAACAGCCGTGGACAAAGGAATTTACAAAAAACGGAGGGACGCGGGGCTGTGGTCAGTACCTTTGTCCGACTAACGAACGATTGTTCGAGCCGAGAGATTATTTCTTTGAGGCTTCCGCGGCTAATTGCTCGTTTCGCTGTTCCGTGCTTTTCGTTTTGACTCGCGCGCGTAGTCGAGCCAAAAAAAGGCCGCAAAGCGTTTGGCCGTACGGGCCGTGTTGAAAATCGAGAGATACAAGGGCCGTGCAATGTTTTTTTAAAAGCGCGATCGTTTCGTGTCCAACGCGTCGATTATTGGAGGCGATTAAATTCCAGGGTTAATTACAGCGTGTTTTTGCTGTGCGACCGGCTAACGCGGGTGCGGCTCGATATTTTCAGTGGTACGAGTCAACCTTTCATGCGGCGGCTACGACATGTTCATCAAATATTCATTTACAACTTTCAAATTAACTGTTTGACGTGGTCGAGTTTATTGTCGTGTAAATTTAGTTACAAAATAATTAAACATCAATCGATTCAACGGAAACTGTAATTTTCCTTCACTACGCCTGGTACAAAAGTAATTTCACGTGGAACTATATTAAATTTCCGAGGGGTCACGGTAATTTTCAAAAGTGTTTTATGCTGCTGGTAAAGTTGAAAGAAAAAAAAAAAAAAAAAAAAAGTATCTTGGTTGCCTCTTTTCGGGACACGCTTACTCAAGTTTTCCCCGGTAAACTCGAGTAATCCTTCTTACTTTGGGTGCAACTAGCAGACTAAAAAATGTCTTGTTTCTTTGAGGCGCGATAAAACCTCCAAGACTGCCGGGCGGAAAATTTGTCGGGGGGCATCCAAGCGGGCGCCTGATATTTTCTTTTTTCTTATTTTCCACGTAAGCTTCGCGCCGTAGTCCTTTCTTTGAAAGTTTTAAAACCTCGTTACGAGTAATTTTGGTACAAAAATGCTGGAATTTTGCAAAATTTTGCTTATTATTTTTCATTCGTTTGAATGGAACTTTATTGTCAACTAACAATGTCAAAGCATTCATTGCCACGGGCTTTAACAAGGTTATAAATAATTAAAATGAAATATTTCGAGAAATTTTTTGATTTCATCAGACCAGTCTAGTTTTCATTAAATTATTCAGTGATCCATTTTGAGAAAAGCAATTTTAGGTAAATTTTCAAACAGCTTCGTTACATCAACCAAATAACTTGAGAGTGGGTACATTTCAATATTAATGCGCTTCGGTTCATTTCCAAAAAGTAACGTTTGTTCCCGGTCTCATTAAAATCACGAGGAAAAGAAAAAAAAAAAGCAAATATAAAAAGCTGCAGCAGCGCACAATCAAACAAAGAGCTTTTATTTCCATCCGACAAGAAACGGCAACAGAAGCGTGTCAGCCTCCACGTCATAGTGCACGTGCACACGCTTTCAAAAGGAGAGCCCTACAATTAATCAGTTGGCCTAGCGCGCCAAACGTATCGTCGAAACTCGACTGGACGAAAAAAATAAATCGAGAAAAGGGATAAACGTGATAATAATGAAAACCCGTGGGAGACGTATAGGTGATGTGTCAGAATCGAGATTCGAGTAACAAAGAGCTCTCGAATGGTAAAGGACGAACATTCTCGTTTCGCGCCTGTGTCTTTTTATAAGTACGAGCTGCTCGCCATCCACTGATCGATTATCGTCTTTTAGGGTCGCAGTATCTATTCCCGTATTAGTGGAATTGATAATGAAGTACGTGTGGTGCGCTCGCCCTTTTCTTACCCTTCGCCTCGGTTTTTATACCCGTGTCGGACCAAACTCGGACTTGTACCACTTGCTACGTGAGAGCTCCTCTTTCCTCTCCCCTTCCCCCTGAAAGTTTCGCTGATCATTGAATTAAGTACAACTCCAGGTTCGATAAAACTTTATCGACGGAACTTTTCCGGCAGAAACTTATTATATTTCGTATCGCTTTTCCCCTGGCCGGACGAGATACTCAAAAAGTATTTTGTACCCTGCAGTTGGTTCGTACAGAAACCCAAATTCAGGGTTACTTTTTTTTTTTTTTTTTATCAGTAAAACGTTTCTGATGTCTTGAAGGCTGTATCAACAGCCATAAAAGAAAAGTTGACGATGAGTTGGAAAAGTTGTAAATGAGGTGATTCATCGGTAAATTCGAACACGCGATATCGCTATGAAGTTATGATATATTAATTTGTGTAATTAATCAAGTTTCGAAGAATAATTACCTTAAATTGGGGACTCGTTTGCGGAGAAAATAATTAAAACGATGGTCCGCGTTTGACACAGCTCTTGTGACTGCGTCACACACTCTTATAAGTATCTACTGGGTGGGTTACATTTGTTTTGCATCGAGAAACCATCACGCAAAAATATAATGTAGTCGATGTAAAAATCATTATCACCCGCCACGATAATTAGTTATTCATTTATCGTTGATTACCTTAAAAATTAATTATTACGATCAATTTTGCATCGGCTGGCACAGTCACCCACTGTCGAACCACTTTAATAATCCAACGAATCGATTGTCAATTTGTTTGAAAGCAGCGATGGACAGAGTACAGTTATTAAGACGTTTTTTTATTACAATCCACGAAAATACATACTTGGGCGTGCTTTTGACGGACAATAGTTCGCGCAGAGCTCAGTCGAAAAGCAAAGCGCGAAAAGCTCAAGGAGTATACCAACAAAGTATAGTTCGGAAGCGAGAAAAATGACTGACCCGATGAAAAGCCATTAAGGTTATTAACAGCCGAGCCGGCCAACCACGATCGCACGGGGCAAATTTACCCAACGACGTGAATTTCCCGACCACCACCACACTGCTGCTGGTGCTGCTGCGTCGACAACAAAATCGAATAATAATTCATGATCGATGGAGGAAACGACGACTCATCGTTTTCTCCGCTTGTGGTACCAACCGCGTTGTAACTCGTTGTTATCATGTTTGCCGATTGTTATTGTGTTTACAATGACGACACGCGGGCTGGCCTCCAGCTTTCGGATCGAAGGTGCCGGGAAGGAAATATAAGATGTAGCCATCACGCAATGACGAATCGTCATTTTTTCGTGGGATGTACTTAATGTTCCTCCATAGTAAATATCCTAGTTAAAAATAAAACACTTTGGCTTCCACCGTATGTGTCTCGAATACTACACCGCGACAAAGTCGTTCGGCAGCTTGTGTTCGTGATTATAGAGCCGAAGGTTGGCAATGCTCATCAAGCAATTACACAAAGTACGCGCACGAGCGGGAGTTTATCGGACTATGTGTGTACACACACACACACACACACAGAGAGCCGTGGATCGATGAGGAGTAAGGGGGGAAGGCGTCGGGTATGACGAGAATTCGCAAAGTGCTGATGATGTCGTATACATACGTGTACCATTCCTCGGGTGGAACGAGAAGAAGTAGGAGAGGAGAGACGGTACGGGAGATCGATACGCGGCGGGAGTTATTAGTAACGAGGGTAATTTTGGAGCGTGGATTAATTCACGAGCCTCCGGGCAGCTTCCTCCTTCTCCGTGGCGTGTATCACCGTCGCTGCATGGACTATACTCGCCCGAGACGTTAATGTCGCAGAACACCTCGAGTCGATTTGCCGGCGATCCCGCCTCACGGAAGTTACTCACAGGTGCCTGGCGTACAACAACCCACGGTTGACCGTTGTACCGTTGCGTATAAACGCGTGAGATCAAAGAAATTGAAAGTATACCTAGATACGCGTTGAAGTTTTCGATTTGTGCAAACTCGCACGCTACGTACCTGCGGGCGCGTATCAGCCGGTAGACACGGCAAACCACCCCCAAACGAGACCAGTGATCGCTCCTTCTTAATCATTGGGCGTGTAAAGAGCTGAGAAATAAACCACGTGTTTCGGTACAACATGGTGAGGCGATACGCGAGCTATCGAAATTCGGGTCGTAAAGTTGACTGGTAGTATCGTAGGGTGGTATTGAACCAACCAACTGCTAATGTATGTACAAGTGGATGCACGGGAGTAGCATGATTTCGCCAAGTACCATCAGTTAAGTGCTTTCGGATTCCGATGGTCTCGGGGGAGGATGAGGGATGGTACCTTCGATTAGGCACGTAGCGTGTCCCCACCCCCGCGACTCGGCCCCGCCTCTTCCGTGCGATTCGGCTCCGGCGAGAATTACGCCGAGCCGAGTCGTCGGATTTAATGCACTTTGCGTGTCGTGTGTATAACTTTAACGTGTCGTATCGTCAATGGGGGGCCGACGTGTGCGAGCATCGTGTGTCGCGGGAGTTGCGACCGCGAAATGTGCCACGCGACACCATCCAGATGCGTCGGTTCCCGCGGTGGAGTCTCCGATAAGGGGGCTTGGCTCGGCTTTTCCCGGTAATTAATGGCTTTTCATTACTTGAATAAATCATCGGGACTAGGCTCGCAACGGAAACGCACTGTACTCTCTGGAAACCCGGTGCACGTGGTGTTGCATCAATAACGTTCTCTCACGTGTTGTAATGTTTGTTGAAATAATACATCTCAGTACTGCAGCTCAATATGAAAAGTCATGTTTTCGATACTAGACGTGCAAAGTTCGAGAGTACACGTGCTACGGGAAATATTGCGTTCACCTTTTTCTTTCTCTGCGCGAGTATTAAAAAAATTTTCCAAACAACATTTTTCGCATACAGCCCGCCGGCTTTGAATTCCAACTCTCTGTATGTAGGTACATATCTCGCAGTGCACGCAGTTGGATTTGAACAAATGAAATTCCCGTAAATGCTTCGAAAAAGCAGATGGATTGAATTAATACAACACCGTCGACATTCGATTTGACGTCAAAGTTATCCATATTCATATATGGATAACCCCTATAGGGGCTCGCGGAACAGCGCGTTTCACGGAGTACAAGGTTCGAGGGAAAAATAGAGGGATGGGAGCATAGGCTACGCGGTAGTGAAATTTTCGCGCTCCACTGATATTTGCCGATGGACGTTGGACGAGCGGTGGTTTTTTCGAGCATCCCCACCACGAAAGAGTACTGCAAATTGGAAAAAATAAACACATTCCGCGCTCGTGCACGAGTTGTTCTTTTTTAAATGCATACATGCACTGGTAAAAAAAAAAAAAAAAAAAAAATCGGGACTTGCATCGATTCACCGTTTGAGAGGGGAAAAAGCACGCTTTAATTAAATAGCTTGATATCACGGTCCAATGAGCATTCCGAGAAAAGCCCGTTTTCATGAGGAAGTGTCGGAAGCACGCGCGTGTGTCGTAGTTTCATTTCGAAAGAAAGGCATTCTCTGCTTTTTCTTGAAAGCGCGATGGTAACGCCGATGAAAACGTGAAAACCGGAATAAACGCTCCAAGTTGCGTGATGATGAAATCTGGGCGCGAGCGATCGGCAATTACGGAAAGAAAACGGCCGTACACTACATGAGGGGAGCTGCGAGTGAGCGTGTTAATTTGGAAAAACAGCCGAGCGCGAAGCGGGAGGTGGCCATTGAATTTTATGTAAAAATAGCGCGGTGGTAATTGGAAGCGTTGTTTTCCCGGTTCCATGTACGTGTGCAGGGGGTCGAGAAGTGCGCAAAAGCGTTGAAATGTTCGACGCTACTTTAAAATGGCCCAGACGACGACACGTGATGCTCCCGACGCGCGAGATTGAAAGCTCTTTCGTGACGTGTGAGTTTTGCGAGCTTTTTTTGACTTGGTTTTGCCGGATGCGACCGCTTGTTATCGTCGACGGGATTTGCGTGTGATTTTTTTTACACCGACGGCTCTGATTGACAGTGAAATGGGTTATTTTTGGGGAGGTTATCGAGAATTTGTCACTTGTACACACGTGTGACAAAATTTTCTTTTGTTCAAATCGGAATGTGTATATATTTTTTTTTCTCCCACACGTGACGCATACTAGGTATTTTTGTTTCGCCTCGTTTTATCCATCGAATATTTCGCGCTTCGAAAGTGGAGTGGAAAATTTAATAAAAACTTCTTCATCAATTTTTAGTTGTTTTCCGAAAAATAATTGCATCAGCTGCATTTTGTACCATATAAAATCACTATAGCAATCAAATTTATCCGAACCAAAGCTTGTTTTCCACACGAGTGAATACTTTTTTTTTTTTTTTTTTTTTTTTTTTTTTTTAAAAAAAAAAAAAAAAAAAAAAAAAAAAAAAAAAAAAAAAAAAGGTTTTTTTTAATATTTTTTTTTTTTTTTTTTTTTTTTTTTTCATGACATAACAGTAATAAGAACGAAGAAAAAAAAATTTTGGCAACAGGTTGTCAGAGGAACTCTTCCCGAAAGTTTCGAGAGGAAATGTGCTACATGCTCGAGTAATTGATCGTGAAAACTCAAAATTGAACCAAAAGTTTTCGCAATAAGTTATCTCCTCGCACCAGATATAAACTTTAAACTTCAGAACGTATTGTACAAACTTAATGGCTCTCGTTTAATTATTGCGAATTAGTTTTTTCACTACTACTTAGACACGTGCACCGTATATACGAATAGCGTGTAAAGAAACAGCTGACATTATGAAAGTAAACAATTCATAAAGTTTCTCGTGCGTAGCGCAATTAGGTTTTCTTTAATTAAAACTTGCGAGTAATTGTCCCAGTTAGGCAGTTAATTATTAAAAACACGGAAACTTATTCTTTTCACCAATTATCTTCATGGGTACTCCAAAACTTCTGAAAAATTCACGAACATCATTCAACTGTCCATAGTTTATAAAATAAAAAAATAAAAACTTTAATTTTTGTCCATCAGTATTTTTCGTCATTCTCTCGAGATCATCCCCATTACAGAGCAAACATATTGTTTTGTGATCCTTAGGAGACAATGTATTTACTTTTTTTTTTATCTCTTCTAGCAATCGATCACTCGAGGGCCATTTCGGCCGAGACATGATTAATTACTACATTATGACTTTTTTATCGGTTTCAGACCAGTTACGCCGGCTATCGAAGAGAAAAGGTATACTCTAAAACGACTCTCCACCTTATTTAGCAGTTTTTTAGCAACAGCAGCTCTAGCTCACATATCCACATGTTATACAAATATGCACGACTTGTTCTCTTATTCTCATCCACTGCGCGCTGGATATGACAAAACATCATTTTATCACGAAGCCCTTGCGCAACTTTTTTTATTGCAGCTTTGACCCCACCACCACCCTCACCCCAACCACATCGCCGCTATCTCACGTTTTTTTGCTCGTAACCACGTTTGCCCGATAAAATGACTTTTAAAAGTTAGCCAAGAAGTTTTAAACGCTCGCTCCTCGAGAAATGGCGACCTTATATACCAGTGAACTCTATATATTACACCAACCTCTTAAATAATAAAAACCATCCATTTTTGGAGGAACGAGCGTCGAATATTACAATTTGATCGAGGATTAAAAATCACCTACACACGTGGAAATTATTTTCCACCGAGTAAACAACAGCGGAATATCTATGCAAACCGTCAGAATTACGGATACGGGGGAATACCTCGCTTTGGCTGTAATTTACAACTCGAAGCTGTAAACCCTGGAATCCGGTGTATTTCCATGGACGGTTGTTTTGCGTCGATTCCTGCGCAAATTTCACGAAACTCGGGGGAAAATGATAACCATTTTCGCGCTCGCGTAACCGGAACGTTTTTACCGGTTTTTACGGTACTACCGGTAGTGAAAACGCAACGTTCGGGAGTTCCGATCTCCCTGGCGTGCATGTGAAAACACGACAGCGACGAGGGGGCGCCTTCACGCGATCTAGAGCGCGAGCATGAGCTTGGCTTGGAAAGCATCACGTGCATGCCTCATTGGCTCGGCAGAGTTATAGCTGATCGGCAAGAGCGCAGCATTTCACAATCCCGGCTTTTGTTCGCTGTATGAGTATGTAGAGGGGATCAAAAAGTAGTTGGCAAAAATGAGCAATCAACCACCACCGAGCACTCCTTCAGACAAACCATCCGAGTGCACACACTGTTCTCGGAAAATTTCACCGCACCGCATCACTGAACTAGATTATTCCTCGCTACGGAATATGTACTTGTTGGGAATTTCCCATGTGCTCTCCAGCACTCGCTCACTTTCCGTTTTAACCGGGGAGCATAGGAAATATTTGTCATGTGTGTGTGAGTGTGAGTGGAGGACCGTAATGCGTAATGCCTCGATGAGATGAAAAATCGACTGGTGCACCTACGCGCTCGCGAAACAAAGTGCATTCCTCGTCTCGGAAATGGCGCTCGCGAGAAATTACATTATCATAGCGTAGAGGCCGCCCCCCCCCCCCCACCCTCGAGTGCTGCGTATCGAGGAATTTATGGCCATTGCTGCGACTTAAATTTCGAAATTGGCCCGCTCGCCGAGGAAAGGAGCCCAACGAAAAGTGTAATGCATTTATTCGCGAGAGCGAAATTCGATTCGACGCCGGAGGAATAATTGCCGGGGAAAATTTATGCCCCCGCGAATATTGAATTACACTCGTTTGTACGATTTCGTGCGTTTGCAAGTGGCAAAGTGTATCGCGACGATCGCTAACCTAAATTTTCGATGGGTACAACGAATGGGGAAATTCTCCGTTTGCTGTATGATGCATCTAAAACGACGACGCTCGGTTCTCGTAACTTTCGGCCCGAGCCAACGGCGCATTTACCCGCGTATCGATCGTCGACCCTTTCCTGAAATTGCTCTCTCGAGATCTGCCATGACATAATAACTTGTGTAATGTACGGGAGGGAGACCACGCAGCGTTTAAAAGGGACTTGAGTGACTAGTAATTTGATTGAACAATCTTGCTCACCGGAGATTCAATTTAACTTTATTGTCCCCCTACATTGTGTAATCAAATGTCAAACAATGGCTCCTCTTGGCTTCAATTTCTATTGCTCCGTAATGCTTGTATACCAGAACGCGGGGCCAATAAAAAATAGTAATCGCAAAGTAACAGTACTCATTTACAAACAAGTAGTACAAACGGAGTATAGTCAGACGCGACTCTCGGGAGGCATAAATTGAACAAACGCGTGACCCATCCACGAAATATGCAATTTCATCGTTTTTTGAATCAAATTTAGAAAATATCCTTCAATCTCGGGCAGGTCGAAGGACACTAACGTGCATTCTCACGGTCTCTAGCACTCACGCTAAGCCAGGCTAAACGGCACACGTCCCTCATTAGAGCATAGGTCACTATAGTACGGTGAGTGGGAGAGACGCGAGCGGCAGAGGAGCGAAAGTTTTTGCAGCACCTACTTTGAAGTTTGCCCCTTCTATCGTAACACAACGACACACGAGGCCGACGGTCGATACCCGCGGGGAAGATTTTTCTCTGTACAACATCGGATCGCTCGAGTTCGGGGGAGGCGGGCGCGCGCACTTTGAATTTCCCGGGGATTTTTGATTGCAAGCCAGGCTACGTGTTCGGAAAGACCGAGCGCCGATAATTTCATTGCGCGGCCCTTTCGGGGATGCCCGGCACGCCTGCGGGGGGTAGTTAAATTTGCCGAGAGGGGGTTATTTCGAGCAACTTTTAATTTCTCGCGCGACGTGATTCCGCCGATTTTGAGCTCGAAGTTGCGAGTGTTTTTGTTTGGTTTCTTCTTCGCTTCCTCTTTTCACACGCGCTAGATTTTCTCCCCGAATTTCGAGTGCACCAAATGGCACGGCGTACAATGGAAAAAAGTAGAAAATGTCAAAAGTTCGAAAAACGATAGGCACTTATCACTCTAGCTTGAAGCACTCACCTTTCATCTGCATTCCAATGCTGATGAGCGGACTGGCTACACGCGAAAGATATATATTATGCGCTTGAATAGAACTTTTACTTTCAACTTTTTCTCTCTTTGCCTTCAATAATCATGTGTAATCAAATCGTTAATAATTACAGAAACCACTCTCGTCCGAATGCCAGCGAAAACGAGTTAAGTATATACGTATAAAACTTTAGTAGATTCTGCATTTTTTCTTATATAGAAATCTCTATATCTGTCCGCAATGAAGCACCGATGTATTAGCTGCAAATGCATGTGTCAACCTACCGAAACGTTTGTTGACTATGGAAACTAATTTTAGCATCGTATTAATATGCAAAGAATAATTTTTTTTTTTCTAATCAGTCAGAGTTGCATTTTTCAACGACACGTGGATGCGACGCACATATAACGTGCTGAGAATGCTATACCACTTTGTATCTCTTTATCACGATTATTTCATAGCTATCTAAATTCACAATGACTTGCATTAATATTATTATGTGGTACCTATGCACCGACAAAACACAAGAGCAACCGAGATGCTTTCTTTTTTTCATGATATATAGGAATGGCATATATATTTTTATTACTATTTCTATCATCTCTACCGTTTATTTTTAACAATGATTCTTTCACTTTTTGAATGACGTATTTTTAATACAATTTTTTTTTTTCATTTCTGAAAGTATATCTATTGCTACGACGTGCGAATCTTGAAAATTAACCTGGGAATTAATATTTGGCTGTACTCCCTATCTCTTGTATTCAAGCTGGTGTCGGTATGCATTTTCTGAATAGCCTTTCATACGAGGCAAAAAAAAATTAATATAGCTAGAAAACGTAACCTTAATATTCTGGCAGCTTGCCCAGGATTCTAGAGTCAATTTGACACCAGAATTAAACTTATTTTTAGCTCTTGCATTTTTCATACCATTTATTCCGACTAGCACAAGAATCCAACAAAGATTTTTCCTGTAGTACATAATTAATTATTTTCGCTTCAAAAATACTTTGGTTTTTAATGACTGCATTATTCACAAGAACTTTTCAACTCGTCCTATTTCTACAATTTATGAAATGTTAATACCTTGCACAATAGTATAAATAATTACCAACATCCTCAATTATCTTTTCGCATAAAGTTTAAATCAACAAATTTACACTTTAAATTTTGTTTTATGACATTTGAATTTTCATTTGTGTCCTCTAGTATGGATCGCACTATCCGTCCCGATTGCATGTATACCAACAAAAACTTTATTAATTTCAACTGCTGTATGAATTAATTCAGCAACAACATTATAAACTTCTCAGGATTTGCTTATTTTGTTCGAATTAAAATATTGCGCTAAAATATTTAAACTCATCAGCTTTTAGTTGATTGTTTATTAGGTTTCGTAATAATGTTCAACAAATTTTTTTTTCATTATAATTTGTTAAATTTTATCTCGAGAAGAATAAAAATCGATATAAGCGTAAGAATTTTCCGACGATATGGTTTTCCTGGTAGCAAAGCAGGAAGTTTTCCACGTATCGTACAGCTGATAAGGTAGAGCTTGCAAGCTGTCGGTATATTTCCAGGGGTGGTCGGAGATAAGAGGGAAATTCACCCGAGCCGAGGGAAGATAATATAAATGTGACACTTTGGGGTCGTGCTGCGATCTGCTCGAGCCAACGAGAGCGGATAAAAATCATTGAGTGTGCTCTCGGAAGCTGCAGTTGGCTGTGCCTTACACAGAGCTTTCTTTGGGAATACATTTTTCATCGCAAGAGATGGCGTCTTTGAAGCGCTCACGCCTCTCTATTGACCGGTCGATGATGTCTACCATTGCCCGAGGTTAGACCAAGTTTACTTTACTGAGGAGAAAAACGTAATCATCAGCGTCGTATCTGCACATGTTTATACGTGCATACGTTTATAACTTAGGAAGAGACAGCAGATTGTGTGGAATCAATTTTTTATTACTACTAACATTATTGGAACTTGTTATACCGATACGGGTTATTTTGACGCTTTGATGGCTATTTTACTCGAATATATGATATTTTTTCAAGTCTTTTTTTCAGCGATTTCTTACACGTAATTTTGAAAGTTCATTTTTATTTTTATTTCTTTTTTT